GGGACAGGACCTGGGGCCCTGGGAGGAGCCTGCCACCAAGGCACCTGACGTTGACGGGAATCGAACCCGGGACCCTTTAGTCCGCAGGCCGACGCTCTATCCACTGAGCCATACCGGCTAGGGCTGCTTTGTATTTCCAAGTCACGAGGAAGCCGGTGGACAGGCGGCAAGGGAGGGAGAAGGGGCTGGGTAAGGGCTCTCCCTTAGTTCCTACCTCTCAGAGAATCAACCCTCAGCCTGTTTATTTGGTTCTTCGCAAAGATCGCCACAAGGTCCAGGTGATGCGTCTCTGGGGAAGGGAGGGAAGGGAAGTCCAGTGGGTCCCTCCAAGAGCCAAGCGACCCCCCCCACCACCATCTCCCTGCAGGATAGGCCCGCCATCCCCGTCTAGGGGGCGTGGTCCCCAAAGCCTCTCCCACCCCAGCCCCTGGGACCCCACTGCCCCTCTCTCCACGGTGCGGGGCACCCTCCCCTCCACCCCCCACGCACCTATTTCCCCCGCAAACACGTTCGCGGCGTAGTCCCGGAAGAAAGGCCCCTCCATGCCCAGCAGCAGGGCCTGCGCGCGGGCCCGCAGGTGCTCCCGGCCGAAGCGGCTGGGGAGGAGGCGGAGGCGCAGCTGGCGCAGCGTCTCCTGCACCGAGAGGTCACACTGCAGGCAGCCCCAGCCCCCGCTCAGGCCCCCGAGCAGCAGGAGGGCCACGGCCAGAGGCATGGCAGGGCCTGTGTGACGTCATAGAGAGCACCCCCGCAGCCGGCCCCGCCCCCTGGGTGAGGGCGGGGTCAGGCAGGCCCTGGGAGAGACACTCCCGCAGGCAGGTGTTTGCTGAGCACCTACTCTGTGCCAGGCCCTGCAGTGGGCCGAGCCCAACAGTGTCTGCTCGCTTCGTTTACAGACATTTGTTCCAAGAGACGTCAGTCGAGCACCCACTGTGTGCCGGGCGGGCGCTGGAGAGAGCCCGGTGTCCATGGACTAATGAGGGGTCAAAGTGTGGCATGTCTATGCAACGGGATAGTATTCAGTCTTAAAAGGGAGGACATTCCGCCCTGGCCGGTTTTGCTCAGTGGCTAGAGCGTCGGCCTGTGGACTGAAGGGTCCTGGTTTGATTCCGGCCAAGGGCACATGCCCGGGTTTCGGGCTCCATCCCCAGGAGGGGGCGTTCAGGAGGCAGCCAATCAATGATTTGCTCTCATCACAGATGTGTCTATCTCTCCCTCTCCCTTCCTCTCTGAAATCAATAAAAAAATACATATATTTTTTAAAAAGGAGGACATTTTGAAATATGCTAAGAAGGATTTTAGAGAAAGAAGAAGGGAGAGAGAAACACGGGTCCTGTTGCACTCATTACGCATTCATTAGTTAATTCCTGTACATGCCCTGTCGGGGGATCACAGCCCTCTTCCCCTGGTGTATGGGGAAGGCGCTCTAACCAATGCTCCACCCGGCCAGGGCTCCTTTTACCTGTTCAACGTGGCTAGCAGGAAGTTTGAAATTACACTGGGGGCTCGCATGTATATTTCAGCTGGACATCGCTGGGCTAGCACACAGATGGTGTCCAATAAATATCATTTGAATTTAGATGTGAATTCGCCGGCAGTTCACGGTTGTGGGAGAGAGGGGTGGCGGGGCAAGAATCAGCCAAGTTGTCACGGGGATGATAACTGGATGGACCTTGAGGGCATTGTGCTAAGGGAAAGAAGCCAGCCAAGAAAAGACAAATCTACATGATCCCGCTCACATGAGGTATTGAGACTCTCTAAAACAGTCAAATTTACACTCAGAATATTTACATTTGCTTTGATCTATGGAACCATACTCAGATTTCCCCAAATACCTTCTAACTTTCTCGCTTCAATATCACCACCTCCAAGGAGGGGCAGGAGAGCAGCCACAGACAATATAGTTATGAATGGATGTGGCTGTGTGCTGAAAAAACTACTTATGGATGCAGAATTCTGAATCTCATATAATTTTTTAAAATATGTTTTTATTGATTTCAGAGAGGAAGGGAGAGGGAGAGAGAGCTAGAAACATCAATGATGAGAGAGAATCATGGATCAGCTGCCTCCTGCACAACCCCTACAGGGGATCGAGCCCTTGACTGGAATCGAACCCAGGACCTTTCAGTCCCCAGGCTGGTGCGCTATCCACTGAGCCAAACCGGCTAGGGCTGAATCTCATATAATTTTAACATCACAAAATATTCTTTTTTTTAAACCCTCATCCGAAGACATGTTCATTGATTTTTAGAGAGAGGGGAAAGGAGAGAGAGAGAGAGGGAGGGGCAGAGAAACATTGATGTGATATGAGAGAGAAACATCAATCAGTTGCTTCCCACATGCATCAGGGCTGGGAATTGAACTTGAAACCTGGGCAGATGCTCTGACCAGGAATCGCACCCGCGACCCTTTGGGGTACAGGACGATGCTTCAACCAACTGAGCTATCCCAGCCAGGGTACAAAATATTATTATTTAGATTTTTCTCAACCCTTTAGAAACATAAAGGCCATTCCTAGCTTGAGGGTCCTAGTTTGCCATTAACTCTAACTCATACAATTTATAATTCTTATTGTTTTGGTCTTTCATATCACCCAAAAACCCTTTCCCTTGAGGCCAGGTACTTTGAGTATCTTGCTCACCATTACGTCCTCAACCCCTAGGAAGGAACCTGGCATGCAATGGGCGTTCAATAAATAATTGGTGAATGAAAAAAGGCAGTTTCACCATAACCAGTTTGGCTCAGTGGACAGAGCGTCGATTCTGGTCAAGGGCACGTACCTTGGTTGCGGGCACATCCCCAGTAGGGAGTGTGCAGGAGGCAGCTGATCAATGTTTCTAACTCTCTATCCCTCTCCCTTCCTCTCTGTAAAAATATCAATAAAAATATATTTTTTAAAAAATGAAAATGTATTGATTTTAGAGAAAGAGGAAGGGAGAGAGAAACACAGGTTCTGTTGTTGCACTCATTACGCATTCATCAGTTAATTCCTGTACATGCCCTGTCGGGGGATCACAGCCCTCTTCCCCTGGTGTATGGGGAAGGCGCTCTAACCAATGCTCCACCCGGCCAGGGCTCCTTTTACCTGTTCAACGT